TTCTTGTATTTGTTCTTCATTCGTATATACCCACTTTTTGTGTCCATATTATTCTTATTCTTGATTGAAGTTATAGAATTGAATTTAAATTTAGTTCTAAAATTATTTTTCATAAACTTAACCAATAATTTATAAGAATGTATTCAAAATAATCATCAATACTTATTGTCACTTATAATAGAAAATGTGATTGAAAAAGAGAAATTTATATAGCAACTTATAGTTCATAATGGATTAATAGCAGAAAGTACCCCTAAAAACATTTCCAATTGCGATATACCTTAGAAATCGCAAAAAATCCGCTATTTAAAATATTTTGTGCGAAAAATCTCGTAACGTTCAATTCCACTAATTTTACCGTTAAAAAAAAAAAAAGTAAAATTGTAAAAATAAAAAATGAATAATTATAGTTACGATCCTAAACTTTTTTTTTTTTACAAATTACACCAAAATCTTTTATTTATACCACCCATATTCCTAAACCTTTAAAACTTATCTTCCATCCCACTCTCATCCCATCCCACCTCAAGCTAAACAAAAAACTTACAAAATTCTTCCTTTCTATTCCTCTCTCAAACCCTCCTCATGGGGTGTTTGATGGATATTATTGAGGAAATAATGTATTTTAAATAGTAATATGATAGAAAATATGTGGTTAAAAAGTAAGGAAAAATTATTGATGTAATGAAAAATATTATTTTATTAAAAAATATATGATTGAAAATGAATTTTAAAAGAATGAATTTTGAGAGAATGTATGTCAAACAGAGGTTCAATCACAATGGAAGTTGTCGTACATGTAAAACGACAATAATATATGAAGTTATTTTATGTGGTAAATGTTGTAATTTGGTTTAAAAAAGATATAAAATTGGTTGAGTATAAAATCATGGAAAAATAACATTCGTATCAATTTCGATCAAATATTCAGACTTGATCCAATAGTTAAATTATGAAAATAAATGCACTAATTTGTCATACTCGTTGAGTAGATTATCGTGATATATTTGAAATTTTAAAACCAATTCTGCATGAATGAGAAATCGCGGTTCAAATTGAAAAGAAAAGAGGAAAAATTGATCGGGGAATTTGCCTAACTCCACTGCTCGCATAGTGTTTGAATGGTGAGCTAATGATAAGCCTGTCGCTCGAACAACAAGTCTTTGCATAAAATAACATCGCGGCACTCGAGCAAGGCATCAGCGGTAGGCTAGTAACATAATGGGTTGCAATCCTTCATGAAGGCTAGTGAGTTCTTGGGCGTATCTTTACACTCACATCCTATTCTCTTCTATAAATAAGACCCCGTTGTGCCTATTGTTTTATCCCAATGATATGCAATCATAGCATAACATAAAAATCCATCTCTTCTTAGCCGAAATTTTGCATAAAAAAAACTGTTTTTCCATTTCATTCGAAGGGAGTACAAAAACTATCTTTTGGTTCGTTGTTCTTGTGTTTTTAGAGTGCTACAAATACAAGAAGGTAGTTTTTATATCTTGGGAGTTGATTGCCATAATCTGTAAGCACTGTAGCAGGACAAAATCGACTTAAGGACAAATAGTTCAACTCTTGTCTCGACTTTGCATCATTACTTTTGGTGTTATTTCATCAATTTCTTGGTGATGATTTTATTGGTGCTTTACATCCATTTTGTTGGAGTTTCCTTGCCTTTATTCTGTCCAGATTTGATAAGATTGATATATTAAAGTTGTCACTTAAAAATATTTTACAAACAACGGTAGAGCCCGACAACATGGGGAAATCCACATAAAAAAAAGCTACTAGAAAAACTCAAAGCACAATTCAAATCGAATTACAAAATAAATAGCTAACACTATAATTTTCACAGAAATATAACTTGAATTGAAATCGTTCGCCAATCCAGATTTATAATGGTGAGGGATTACTCTCACCACATTTGGGATCAATATCTGGAAGTAATGCCACTAGTTGTGATGTGAGGGGAGGGGTTAAGCTACCTAAGATCGACTTTCCTTATTTTAGTGGAGAGGAACCTAGAGAATGCTTGAGAAAGGCTCAAAAGTACTTCCAAATACACCAATCCCTGATGAAGTAAGGATCAGTGTTGCTGAGATGTACCTGAATGGGAGAGCAAACGTGTGGTTTCATGGGTTTATAAGTAGCAATCCCAATGCTGACTGGGAATTCTTCTCTGCAGAAGTATGTAAGCGATTTGCAGAGACTACATGCGAAGAGGCCATAGAAGATTTTAGCAAGATCAGGCAGAGATGATCAGTGGCAGAATACCAGGAACTCTTTGAGGATCTCAAATCCCAAGTCATGTCGTCTCTTCCCCACCTCCTTGAGTCGTATTATCTCTCAGTATTCACCAGTGGATTGAAGGGAGAAATTAAATCCATGGTTAAAATCATTAAACTAACATCTATCTCACAAGCATTTGGAGTAGCCCTCCTACAAGAAAATACTATATCAGCCTTGAACAAATTCCCAAAAATCCCAGCCAAAACTTTTTACCAACCCAGATGGCCCAACCAATCCCCAAACCCCACTGAAACAGGTCAAAAGACCCAAAACCACCCCTTAAAATTCAAAACAATTACCCCATCTGACATACAAACAAAAAGGAGTTTGGGGTTGTGTTTTAGGTGTGACAGAAGTACAGTCTTGGACACATATGTAGAAATAGAATGGTGAATTTCATGTTGATTGAAGAAGAGGATGAGCTGGATGATGAAGAAAAAGGGAAACTTGGAGAGAAGAAAGAGGACCTGGAGGATGAAGAGATCATGGAGATCTCTATCAATGCATTGATTGGAAGCCTGAAACAAAAGTGTATCAGAATACCTGGGCAGCTGAAGAGGAGGAAGGTATCTATTCTCATGGACAGTGGTAGCACTCATAGTTTTATTGACGAGAAATTAATCCACGAGCTGAAATACAATGTGGAATCCACCAATCATGTGATAGTAATTGTGGCTAATGGAGAGAAACTGAGTAGTACTGCCATATGTAACCCACTCACTTGGACTATGCAAGGAATGGAATGTCAGTTTCAATTGAGGGTGTTGAGGCTAGGTGGGAGTGACATGTGTTGGGAGTAGACTGGTTGAGCCAATTCAACACAGTTGTTTTCGACTTCAAACAGAGCAGTATTCGAGACCTATAAATTTTTTAATTTATGATTGTAAAATAATCCTGACTAATTAATTTGAAAATATGTGACCAATAAATAAGTTGTAACCTATAAGTATGTACATGCATACTTTTTACGGCGTGCAAACTGCATGCCGTAACTAGTAGGCTGCTTTTTACAGCATGCAGGCGCACGCCGTAAAACACATTCACGACATTCTATAGACGGCGTACATTGCACGCCGTATGCATTGCACTCCATAAAAAGTACATTTTGTTGTAGTGATGTGACCATTAGATGTGTAATTGTGACCTTGATATATTTAATTAATAAAATATTAATAATTATTTATTTATGACTCGAGTTTTGAATTTTGAAACTTTAAACTTGAAAATTGAATTGGTTCATAGTTAATTCTTGAGTTGTGAATTTTTTCCCAAAGTGG